GTAGAAGATTGCCTTGAATGTCCATTAATGGAGATTAGTCTTTAAAATTGTGAAATTCTTACATCCTTGTTCATGATTTTTCCAGATAGGATTGGAAGGAGAAAGCCTAGGTATATACAAGCCAAATTGCGTGAATTGTGTGAAATGGGTATCAACTACAGAACCACCAAAAAATCAGCCTTTGACATGGTACAAGGTATATTCTAGTGATATATATAATGGTTTCCTCTCATATTATAAACAACCTTTTACATGAATTTGTGTTTAATAAGAATATTAACCGAAAGAACTGTTGCAGACTATTGTTGACCAACCATCAGGGGAGGATCCTATTGCTCTGGATATGCTTGCCATGGGGAAAGGTCTAGCTTGGTTAAATGGAGAAGAAATTGGAAGATACTGGCCCAAGGAAAGCCCTCTTGACGATCAGTGTGTTCAAGAATGCGATTATAGAGGCACGTTTTCCCAGTGGAAATGCCCCACTGGATGTGGAGAGCCAACACAAAGATGGTAAACTTTAATAGAAAAAAAAAATGCTAAATTTAGAACTAAGAATTCACGCATTAATTGTTTGTTTTCTTACTTATAAACTATATCAAATCTGCTCTAACAAAACTCCTTAGTAGAACTTCCATGACTATCCACCAATTTTTCGCAAATTAAAATTCAACTACATAAGATTGGTTAATCAAAAAGTCATTTAATCAGCTATAGTTTTAGACAGTATACGGTTTCTATCCAACAATTAAAAGAATATTATATCTCAGTTTCAATTTATGCATGGCAGATTCTATATTCACTGTAGATAAGTCTTCTATTCATCTGAATTGATCAGGTACCATATTCCACGGTCTTGGTTCCAGCCAACTGGAAATGTTCTAGTTATTTTCGAGGAGAAAGGTGGAGATCCAACAAAAATCAAGTTTGCAAAACGTAAAATCTCAGGTATGTGTGCACTTGTTGGCGAAGATTACCCCTTGGCAACTGTGAATCTCAAGTGCCCCAAGAACAGTAGCATCTCGGAAGTAAAATTTGCAAGTTTTGGAAATCCTGAGGGAACATGTGGATCCTATAGGAAGGGACATTGTCATGATCCTACTTCTACTTCTGTGATTGAGATGGTAATAATGCTTTCTTAACTTGTTCCTACAAATACGTATACCTTATGTTTCAGCAACATCTTAAATTATGATCATATTGAATGCCTTGACATTTTTGCTAATATTGCTTTTAACTAATATTATTACAGGCGTGCTTGAATAAAAATGAGTGTGCCATAGAACTAACAGACGAGACTTTCGATAAGGTATATTGTACGTGTGAAACTAAAAAGAAACTAGCAGTGGAAGTAGTATGCAGCTGAACATATATATTCTTTTAGCGGTGCAGTCACCCAAACTAAAGAAATTATCAAAGCAGCAGGGATTCGAGGTGCTCTTCCCTTTAATTTCTATTCATTTCCATAACTCTAGGTTCTGTTGGTTATCACTGTATATGTGACATTTTAAATAATTTAATATAAATATTAATTTTTCACAAGTTGATTGTTCATTATGTTGTCTTTCCCTGTTTAATCTCTTCTTTTTCTCTTTTTTGGTAATTGTTTGTGCGAAAAATTGATCAGGGAAGTCCGAAAACTCAAGTGAACGATTGAGTTTACTACTGAATGTCTTGATCTTTAGTGATTTTATAGATTTGAATTTAGGTTGTATGGATTGAGCAAAAGTAAATAAAAACTGAGAATTTGAATTAATTATAAAGAATGCAGAGAACTGAATTGGTGGAAAATGAATTCGTCTTCTAATTATACAACACCTTCTGTACTTTTATGGACCTTACAGGGAAAATTTTGAATCAAAAGCGGCCCAATTTTATCTCTCTAATTTTGCCGCCTACAACTCCACAATAATAATGGATTCAATTGTATTCTGATCTAACTGTTAGGTTGTGTTTGCTTGGGGCAATGGGGGGATTACTGAGTTAATGTCATATTATATTATTTGATTACCACGTTTGGTTGTCAAACAATATAAGATTTCAGATCTTTTAAAATCAATAATAATTATTGTTGGTAATATAGGAGATAATCTAATTACCTTTATTCTCTTAAGTATTTTAAGATTACTTGATAATCTTATTTTTATTACAATTTTATCTCTTATTAATAAAATTTTTGGACAAAAATACATTTATTTTGAAATTAATTTACAAATGGCTTCATAGACTATTTTATCTTTATATACAAATTTTTTAGGACATAATTACCCTTGGACTTTAAAAAAATTACCTAAGGGTGGTGGTCGGATCTGGCCACCACCACTAGTCCTTGGTTGGCGACAAAATGGTGCACAACTAGTTGGATCTGACCAATCGTGTGCCAGTAAGGCTGTTTTCAGCCATGGATCACACGAAAATGGCCAGATTTAGCCATTTCATAACCAACGATGTGGCTGTGGCTATGAAACGACAATAGATCTAGCCATGAAACGACGGTTGTTTCATGGCAAAAGATGGGATGTGAAACTACCACAGATTTGGTTGTGAAACGATGTTCGTTTCATGGCCAAGCATCAAAGTTTTATATGGCTGAGGTGTTTTAGCAAAATTTCAAATGTAGGGTGTTAAAAGAATAATTAAAAAACTAATAATAAAAGTGCTATCATATTAATATTTAAAAATGAGGACAATTTAGTAATCTTTATAACATATCCATCAATTTATCATTCCAACCAAATAAATTAATATAACATACCCACTAATTTATTTAAACCTAACCAAACATATTTCTCTAAATATTTTTAATAATTTTTAAGGTAATCTATATTTCCATTAATATAACATTCATTATAATATAATATTCTCAATAATATAACATTCTATGAACCAAACACGCTCGTTAATAATTATGTCATAGTTAGAATTAGAAGATAAAGCTAAAATGTTTCTTAAGCTATAGAAAAGATAACTAAAAGGACATGTGTTTCGAAAGATCGTGGCTGAAGGGAGGCAATTAATTTAACTAGTTAAGGATGATCAAATCAAGACTCAAGGGTCAACTTTTGATTTCAAATGTTTGTAACAAAATCAACTCTATTATATGATTATTTTATTATTTATAGTGATTACTTGAGGCTTAGGCAATCCTCACAGACAAATTAAACCAATTGGTACAAGTTCAAGCAGGATCAGATTCTTGATAACGATGCTCACCTTTTTTTCATCATTTGGAAAACTTTATCTTCCACACTAAGCAATTAAACATTGCTAATTTAAGAAACCTACAACACAAGTGTCTTAACGTTTAAAATCGAAATTAAATCCAGGATAATTGAAAGACAAAAATCAAAATAAAATAAATAAAATTAGAGTCGATTATTACAAGTCTTGTATAATCTATTTCCTCATTCCGTATAATATCAATACTAAACGACTATAGAGTTATTAAGTTTGCAATAAACGTATTTTGAGTGAAAAAAACTTAGGTATAGCCTAAAATTAAAGCCTCATAAACTAGTCCAAAATGGGTTACGTTTTCTTGGTAGGAACAAACTCATTTTCGTAGCTGTCTTATTCCACGACTACAATGTTGAAAATAATGTACAATAATAGCAGCAAATGGACAAAGTATATACAATTAGAGATTGAGCATGCAAAGATTATATGGAGATAAATAGTTTATGACCCACTTATCTGTACACATGAACAGTATTTTGTGGTTCCTTGTACACCAAGCATCTATTTTTATGGTTTTTATAATCAAATTCCGAGAGTGATGGAAGATCAATCATTTTGAGGGAGGCACGAGCCATGCATTGCTTTGTTATTGGGAGAATATCACAGACCACATTTAAGGTTTCTAAACTTATATTCAAATAACAGCTTTCGCATGTTTAATTAAATAGACCCTGAAAGTTTGAAAATTGTATAATAGATATTCCTTTGCCTTATGTTATTGTTTGTGGTAAATAAATGAAATAGTAACTTTGGTCTTATAAGAAATTGTTGAGGTAACATGGTAATTTTGGTCTTATAAAAAAGTGTTCGCAAATTTAATGACAATGCAATGGAGTTAGGGCAAATGGGTATTTATGATAAAGTTTTCAAACTTAGAGGGTCTATTCAAAGACAAAGAGGTGTGAGTGATACAACATTTTCTAACTTCAAAGGCTCAATTGAACTGTCAATCATTTAGAAGTTCATTTCATGACTTATCTTAGCTATAGAGAGTGGAAAAGGATTGGCGATTAAGAGTGACGAATGACAACAGAAAAATTAGTGGCAACTTAGTTGTATCATCCCATTGGCTAAGAATGACTTAAATGTAGGGGCATGGGTTGGAAACAACTGCAAGGAATAACAAGTAGCTTTCCATAATCTAAGCTAGATCGTGATTTGTGTTACATATCTTTATTAAGGACCTAAATTAATGACCTCTTGAATAATACATCTAAGAGTCTATGTCAAACCACTCAGTCACCCGAAAGTAGTTATATACCCTTAAGTTTGATTAATTCTCTCTTAGAAATTAATATGACATGTGTATGATCAATCAAGTACATAATAGCTAAATATCACCAAGCCGAACCAAGAAAGGCTACCAATAGTTTATTATTCTGTTGCCACTTAGAATTATTTTCTTATACAGACTAAACACTTAATAAGTACCCACACATTTTTTTGTTTTACTGAGGATTAATTTATTAAACCAATCTTTCAATACACAAGTGGAACCTTGAACTTCTGTATTTAATTATCATTGCTCTTATATATATTGGATGAATCTGTTTGTTTGAATTCAGAAATATAGTCTTGCTTTGAATAGTAAATAATTAAATAGAGATTCATGATGGAAACCCTTTCATTTCTTTTAGTAATGAAGCACTTATCCAACACAAATTTTGTTTTTTTTTTTTTTTTTTTGGGACTTTGATCAATGATTGTTTTTTTTAATGACCGAAGATGTTCGAGCTAACTTATGCACATCTCAATTAATCAATCGGGGCCTTGAAATGCTAGAACTATAATCCAAGTAAAAGCTCTAATAGTTATTTCTATTACTATCCCAAAAGGGATTCGAACTCAAGATCTTTTAAATAATACACAAAAAAAAAAAAATTTTATCAAACTGTTCAACCACTCAGAGATCGGCAATAGCTTGATTGAAAATAAGTTTTTCTTGATAAAATTAATGATTAAAGTGACAAATTTATGGGACAACTTTGTACTAAATACTGTGCTTTTTGAAAGATTGATTTTACATTTAATTTATTTTATGGGAAGCCATATCATCAGGATTTTAAATCAATTAGTTGTAATGATGTAACTCGTAATTAATTAGTTATGAAAAATGTCACGAAGTCTTTATCATTGTAGGGTCATTTGAACCATGCATTCATTTAAACGCCTTGCGTTAACGAAACTTTGGAGAAGCATCGGATGTCATATCAATTTGTAATTTCATTCTTAATTCAGAAATAAATTTGCCAAAAATTAGAAGATAATACTATTTCTTAATTTTATTAAGTTAAAGCATAACCATGCATATTTCTTCCCTTATCATGAACACGAACGGCCTCTAATAATTAGAGAATTTAAATTAAAAAAAAAAATAAGATCCCTATTCACGATAAGGGCGAAGGTTAGGAGAAAGTAGGTTTCTCTCATTCAAACATTATCCAATTAAAATCCTTATTCAAAGCTATCCAATTAAAAATTGAGAGACAATAACACACGCTTTGGTGGGCTCAAATGGTTATTAAATATAAGTTCAATATTATTCTATAATATCCCTAAATTCTCCTGTATTTCCATATAATAATATTTACAATTAATTAATTAATTGATCTAATTTAGATCGCTTATTCTTGAGTCCATTTTATAATAAACTAATATTCGTTATTTATCAATATCAAAACCGTCCTCTGCCATCAATTATCATTTTCCATTGAATGATTCTAAAACAAATAATTGTAATCCATTGAATAAAAGTTCAAATATAATTGAAACATGAATTTAATTAATATATTGTAAGGATTATGGGTATTATTAGCTAATTAAGCATCAACTTTCAACAAATATATATTATTGTTCTTCAGAAAATAATTATACTTCTTTAATATTATGGTTTGACTAGAGAGCAGTAGATACTATATAATAGAATCTCTATTATTTTAAGCATCATTTGAACATATTTGCAGACTAATTAATTATATATAAAAAGTACTATCTTGACTAATAAAATTAACTTATTTTTAGATAAATAAGTTCACCTGATTATTTATTAATAAATATAAAAAATTATCACATAAATATCACATAACAAAGAAAACCATTGTCGATTGCTTTCACAAATAATATAAAGCTCAAATTTATTAAAATATTTTATCAAACACTTGCATAACAAAATTTTATAAATAACATACACTTATATCTCGATCATACATTACAACTTTATAGAAGAATAAATCTTTTTTAGTAA